TCAAGGTAGGACCTAGTACATAAGATATAGATTCGTCTTGTATGTACCCTTTGTGTATATTCTGCAAATTCTCGTGATTTCCTGGTCCCAGACATTACACCTGCTCATATTCTCGTCTTTATAGACCGCTTTCGCCTCGTTCGAGAAGGACATCAAGTCGGCTCAGTCAGAAGGTGAGGCTGCCCACCAGGCTGCCATTGCTAAATTCAGCCCAGAGGCCAAAGAGGTAAATATCACTCTTCTTACCCCTATAGCCCTGGAATCAGCGCTCAAATCTTACTTAAGGCTGATGCCAAACTCACCGCTATTGCCAACGACAAATCAAAGACGAATGCTCAAAAGGGTCAAGAAATTGACGCCATTTTGAAAGGACTCCCAGCTGGTGTCCGCAAGGAGATCGAGGATGCAATGAAAGGATAAATCGGCGACATTTTGTGTATATATGAATTGATAAATATGCGAAACTTCTCTGTTTTTCAATCGATTTGCGTTGTAGCGAAAGTCCCGTAGACGTCAAATTGGGTAGTTTTCGTGTCCCATTTTTACCGTTCGGCTATTGAAATCACTGAGCATTTAGAGGGTGACAAGCGATCAAAATGGGTTGCTCGCCGATCTGGTTATACTCTCAAGGACCAAGGTCAAATTCAGATAAACTGACATTTCCTAGCGCTTCCGTGTCAAAAGTACATTGCAACCTTCGCAGCTCAAGCAAACAATTATCATTCTGCTGACAGATTACTGATTTACAGGCATGAGCGAGCACAACGCTGAAAATCCAAAAACTGCAAAGATAGTGCATGAAGTCACAGTTTTTCCGTACGCGATGCATTATTTGCTGTGCGCACGTCGCTGTGACAAAATTACACCTTCGCCCGTTGTGATTGCAGAGTTGGCCGTGACATTTCGTCGCCTCTTCCATCATTTTGGGGCTACAATGAATTTTCGCGCACTGCAGTACAGTTTGAAAACAAATGTAAGGTGCTCGATGAAATTGTCAATGTTTTTTATAATAATTTTAAGAGACCAATGTCCCTTATTGTCCGTTTTTATCGCTGGAATAATTTCCTATCAGTGACTCACATCAGTTTCCAAATGAAGTATGGTGTGTAAAGGCTAATCCGAGATGAAGGCGGCGCCCATGCACGCGACGCATGCGCGGGCTTATGAGCTCTAATGACGGAAGGCAGTAACCTGAAGGTCACTGTCAAGGACTCTTACTACACAGGGACGAAGCTGTGCAAATCTTCTTGTTCAAAGTATTCTCATCGCTTCAGAAACCTGGGGCATTATTAGCAAAAGTCGAGGGTGAGGTTCTCGCTACAACCACCAAAGGTTTCTCCATAAATTTCAATATTTCCTCTATCGAAGGATAGAAAGGGATGAGAACATTTGAGCTACGGCAAGGAAAGCCAAGGATGCGGGATGGTTTGATTTTGTGATCAGAAGGTTTTTTTCCAGTTCACATCCAGCTCTGTCAAGTTGTGCAAACATTTTGAAGGTTATGCCGGCGTAGTTTTTTGAACCTTTGAAATATGAAGTTCCAGTTCTGTTCTCAAGGATTCGCGTTTTTGTTTCAACTGCAATTTCTTACCAGTCGTGTATTTGCGGGAACTGCAAAGCGTCCAAACACACAAATGTTTTAAGACTCCCATGCTCAGTTTGTGCAAGAAACCTCAAACTAAATGATAAATGTCACAAACCTTGCAATCAATCAGAATGCAA